GGTGAATGGGGGCTGGGGGATGTCTGGGGGGGCCAATAGGGTCTGGAGATGTGTGTGTGTGTGTGTGTAGGGTGTGTGTGTGTGTGTGTGTGTGTGTGTGTGTGTGTGTGTGTGTGTGTGTGTGTGTGTGTGTGTGTGTGTGTGTGTGTGTTTGGTTTTTCTAATAGTGTTTTAGTGTGATCTCCAGCTCTTTGGCCTTTGCTTCTCCAGCTTGGGAAGTGACACAATCAGGCCCCCCCCCCCCCGCCCCTCCCTGTTTCCCGTCCTATATTTAATTTTAAAACTTTGGATAGATGCAGCATCAGTAATCTCCTGTCCCCACACAGAGCAGGTCTCCCTCCAAGCATCAAAGAAGTCTTCTTCAGTGATGGGGTCTGTGTCATCTGTCTCCCCCCCCCCCACCCAACACATAACTGCAGTATCATCACAACTTCACCTTTCAACCTAATTTTTTCCAACTACTTCCTCCTCCCCCATAATATTCTCTCTCCCTTCTCCTGCTCCTTTCCTTTCATTACCCTCCCATTTCCGTTCATATCGCTCCCTTTCCATTTCCCCTTCTCCTCCTCCCCCTCTTCCATCCAACATTTTCTCCGTTCTCCCAGACCGCTATTTCATGGGGACCGCTTTGGAATTTCATCTGAGGTCAAAATAAAAAATTTAAATTTATACGTATTATTTTCACTTTATGAAAAATAAAGAAGATATTTTGTTAGATTTTAATTATATTCTCTTTACAGATACAAGGGAATAAATATATTGTTCTTTGATAGTGAGATATTAATTTATTTGACATAGGCCTATTGTTTTGGGGTTGATATTATGAAATGGTTTGTAGCAAATATTGTTTGTTTTTTGTTTAGTGTGAAACACTTGTGTGGGATTCTCTAATTGGCGGAGAGTTCTCTCCCAGCCCCGAGTTTGGTATGATAATTTAATTTACATTCTTTGATTGTGGTGGTGGTGGTGGTGGTGGTGGGGGTGGTTGGGGTGGTGGTTGGGGTGGTTGGGGTGGTGGTGGTGGTGGTGGTGGTGGTGGTGGTGGTGGTGGTTGTTGTTGTGGTGGTGGTGGTTGGGGTGGTTGGGGTGGTGGTGGTGGTGGTTGTGGTGGTGGTTGTGGTTGTGGTGGTGGTGGTGGTGGGGGTGGGGGTGGTGGTTGTGGTTGTGTTGTGGTTGGGGTGGTGGCGGTAGTTTCGGTTTCCACACACACCTTCTAGTGTGTGTGGTCTGGTCAACATACTTTAGCCACGTTATTGTGACTGTGTAGCTGACTTTGAACGCGTCCTGATTTAGGTTACTAAACGACTAGTATAAGTACTCATCTATTTGTAATGACCAATTTGTGCCGGCAGAATCGAGCTGTAGCTCTTGGACCCCGCTTTTCTAGCCGTTGGTACTTGTGCATATGTGTCTGTGTGCTTACAAAAGGTTCGTGTAAATAGTGGCACTATAAAATATAGAATTTCGGTGCCTACCAAAAAAACACTGAATCTGACCCTCTATATGTTTATAATTATAACCTTATATGTTCCTCGTCCTTGTAGAACACCCACTACGACCACCACTAAGAGCTCCTCGCCCGTGTAGAACACCCACTACGACCACCACTAAGAGCTCCTCGACCGTGTAGAACACCCACTACGACCACCACTAAGAGCTCCTCGCCCGTGTAGAACACCCACTACGACCACCACTAAGAGCTCCTCGCCCGTGTAGAACACCCACTACGACCACCGCTAAGAGCTCCTCGCCCGTGTAGAACACCCACTACGACCACCACTAAGAGCTCCTCGCCCGTGTAGAACACCCACTACGACCACCACTAAGAGCTCCTCGACCGTGTAGAACACCCACTACGACCACCACTAAGAGCTCCTCGCCCGTGTAGAACACCCACTACGACCACCACTAAGAGCTCCTCGCCCGTGTAGAACACCCACTACGACCACCACTAAGAGCTCCTCGACCGTGTAGAACACCCACTACGACCACCACTAAGAGCTCCTCGTCCTTGTAGAACACCCACTACGACCACCACTAAGAGCTCCTCGTCCGTGGAGAACACCCACTACGACCACCACTAAGAGCTCCTCGTCCGTGTAGAACACCCACTACGACCACCACTAAGAGCTCCTCGACCGTGTAGAACACCCACTACGACCACCGCTAAGAGCTCCTCGTCCTTGTAGAACACCCACTACGACCACCACTAAGAGCTCCTCGACCGTGTAGAACACCCACTACGACCACCACTAAGAGCTCCTCGCCCGTGTAGAACACCCACTACGACCACCACTAAGAGCTCCTCGACCGTGTAGAACACCCACTACGACCACCACTAAGAGCTCCTCGACCGTGGAGAACACCCACTACGACCACCACTAAGAGCTCCTCGTCCACGGAGAACACCCACTATGACTTCGGACACCTGAATTAAGACTCAGGTGTTCGCACATCCGTCTCCACACCGGCCAGGCCCGTTTTCTTACGGACTCGACCAATCCGGTAAAAATGCGGAGTGTCAGTTAGAATTAAACCACGTTAATGCTGGTGTTTTCTAGCCATCGGCCTCGATATCTTCGCTTCCTTGACTTCGTACGTTTTGGGTTAGGCAAACAGTTCCATTTTTTTACGGAGTGGGAAGTGGAGAGGACAGGCTGATGCCAGACGCTATAGGGGCTGGGACCCGAGCCATCATACCGGCGGGACTCATCAACATGACCCATGATGAATATCACGCAGGAATGACTCAGTACCACCATGAACTACCAGCATGGAAGGCAAGGTTAGGTCACACAATAATGATAACGAAAACATAATAATAATAATTAACTTCTGGAGCAATAACTTCAAATGATTGGATCATTCCCAGAGCATTTAGAAGCCACACAATTTAGGATCATTATATCACAACTTTGATAGTTTGGAGGGAATAGTTCAACTCTCTACGAGTCCGGGAGAGAGAGAGAGAGAGAGAGAGAGAGAGAGAGAGAGAGAGAGAGAGAGAGATCCAACCAGCTAGAGTCACCAGACGGAAGAGGGGATACAAGACGGGAGAGACAACGGAAGGGGGATATGAGAGGAATTGTGGGAGAGGGATCAAAGGAAGGGGGGATAGGGTATGCGAGGAGGGGAAGAGGGTGTATTAAAAAGAGAGGGGGAAGGGAAGGTGGAGTCTTAAGAGAGAGAGGGGAGAGTGAGGGGAGAATCTCAGGTGACGCAGGTAAAAAAGAGGGCACAGGGACGTGTAAGAGGGGAGGGAGGAGAGTGTCTCAGGTATCACTGCTAAATGGGCAGTGAAGGAGGCTGAGGGTAACAGTGGTGAGGGGTAGCTGAGGTAACTCAGGACGTGGGAGAGAGGGAGAGGGAGGGAGAGCGAGGGAGAGGGAGAGACACAGACACAGACACAGACAGACAGACAGACAGACAGACAGACAGACACTGCACTCGATTAATTCGACTCCAACACCTGCTAATTATTGCCTGTTAAATTTGAGTTATTTACTAGTTAATTACATTGGAAATCGAGTTAATAAATTCCATTAATAACAAAGTATTTGGGGGTCGTGTGAACTCACCTATATATATATATATATATATATATATATATATATATATATATATATATATATATATATATATATATATATATATATATATATAATATATATGTGTGTGTGTGTGTGTGTATATCACGAAAATAAACACGTGATTAAGAATGTGACAATGTCAGACCACGGAGGAAAAATGAAACAGGAATTTCCTTAAGTACTTTCGTATATTAAATACATCTTCAGAAGGTCATTTTACAGATCGAGTGATGGGTATAAATAGGCAGGAGAGAGTGTCCTTACTTCACCCCTTACTTCACCACTCTCTCCTGCCTATTTATACCCATCACTCGATCTGTAAAATGACCTTCTGAAGATGTATTTAATATACGAAAGTACTTAAGGAAATTCCTGTTTCATTTTTCCTTCGTGGTCTGACATTGTCATATATATATATATATATATATATATATATATATATATATATATATATATATATATATATATATATATATATATATATATATATATATATGTCGTACCTAGTAGCCAGAACGCACTTCTCAGCCTACTATGCAAGGCCCGATTTGCCTAATAAGCCAAGTTTTCATGAATTTATATTTTTTTCTAATTTTTTTATATGAAATGATAAAGTTATCCATTTCATTATGTATGAGTTAACTTGTTTTTAATTTTAGTCAAAACTAAGATAGATATATGACCGAACCGCGTGTGTTGGTGGATGACAGTGTAGTGGAGCCAGGGGACCTCAGCTCCTGGGCCCCCTCCTCGGCTACGGACCCTCGTCTTTAGCCTATTATTAATCTCAACTATCTTCCCTGTCAGGTTATCACCATGATCACTAACTCTTGCACAGAAGATCTTACACTGTAGATCTTGCACTGAAGATCTTGCACATCTTGCACTATAGATCTTGCACTGAAAATCTTGCACTGATCTTCCCGTGTGTGTTGGTGGATGATAATATAGTGTCTGGAGCCCGAGTGTGTGTGTGTTGGTTGATGAGAGTGTAGAGTGTGGAGCCAGCGTGTGGATGGGTGACCGTCCATCCGGTACTTTACATCATAAACACTATGGGTTCTGTCACTAAAATATTACCATATTATATTTTTTTTGCATAATTGTCTCTATTGTTTCTTGAATATTGTATATAAATTTTCTTTGATTTGTTTCTTATTTCCTTGTTTTATTTTATTCAAGATTTTTAGTCTTATTTTTCTCATATAGAAGAATAATCCACATCATTTTATACAGCGTAAAACATGAACCTGATCACAAGGAAAATGTATTTGTCATAAATCTTATAATTAGTTAACATTACTTCTTGAACATATTAAATTGTATCAGTGATAACAATCACTGTAAATTATCTGCTCTAATAATTATAATTATAATCTAATAGTAATAATTATGTTTTTCTTTACAGATACGGAAGATGGGCGAGAGTGAACCACTGTAAATGGTAGACGTAAAAAAAGGAGGAGAAAACCCAACCTGTAAGTGAATGTAAACATTGAAAACACGTGTAAAATAGCCTTGTTTACCCAGAGGAAAATATCTACTGCCGTGAGATCAAAGGAAATAACTTAGATCATGAAATATAAAGTGAACAAAAGGAGAAAATTAGTGAGGACTGATCAAGTGATGGCGAGGAAGTTGGCGAGGTGTGGGTAGGCGAGGCGCTGATGAGAGGCCTAGCGTGGGGTACACGGGGTCAAGGTGGGGTATACGGGGTCAAGGTGGGGTATACGGGGTCAAGGTGGTGTGGTACACGGGGTGACGGTGGTAGAGGACCGCCGTAGCTCGCACACTGTGGTCCAGCAGGCGGGTGATTGGCTAGTTGAATACCAGGCAAGAAACACCCGCTACTACTGCCATATCTGCCACTAGTACTGCTATTGCCAGCAACGATAACAACCACTAACCACTATTATAAGGACTGCTACCACTACCACCAAGATCTGTCTACCACCACCGTGACTCCTCCACCTGCCGCCGCCACCACAGCTACCAGAACAAACCACTAACCTACACCACCTATTTTACTCTCTCCCCAAACCTTTCCGCCCATTTTCTAACTTCCTTCCCCCACAAAGCCACAATGTATGGCATGGTGGGTGGTGGTGGCGGGGGCGGGACTCCGAGGGGTGGTAGTGGTGGGGGTGGTGGAGGTGGAACCAGGTCCAGCAGCCGGAGGTCGACCCAGTATCGTGGTACTGGAGCCTCCACCGCTACCTCCTCCAGTCACGGCCACGGGGGCGGCGGCGGGTCGCGGCCTCCACGCTCACTCTACAGGAGACTGCTCACCTTCATCAAACAGGCGTGGACAGGCGTCAAATTCGGTTCAGGTAAGTCCAGTGGAGGTCCTGTGGAAGCCAACATTTTTGGACCAGGGCCAGGATTCCTCCAACACTTACGCAACCAATTACGAAACCTGTTCATCTTTCCTTACTCATAGTGGCTTTGTTTACGTTATTAAACACATAACGTGCTTCACAACTTCACAACCCAAGATTGTTATTGATATAAACAACACCGTAGCGCTTCGGAGCTGATAAACTGTTTAATAAATGTAACTAAAAAGGGCCATGATGCAGGAAAGATGTAGAGGTTTCGTGAGTGGTTCCGTAACTGTTTGACGATTCTTGGCCCGGGATCCGTACGTCTGATGTTAATACCACTTACTGTTTATCATGATACAATGTCTACTTCTTACAATGCTGCTACTGTTACTTCTGCTACAGTTGGCACTTTACTACTTCTTGTAACAGAAGTTGTAAACAGTTTACTACTTCTTCTTCTTCTTTGTAATAATACAATATATATTAATAATTATTATTATTTAAGAAGCTGGTGAGCAAAGATCCACATGAGTCCGTACAGAGAAGGTGACAGTTGTGCTTGCTTTGTGTTTGGAGTCTTGTTGTCACAGTTCTCTTGTCTTGTTTGTCATTCCATCCGCATTTATGTACATGGCTACATCTCTCATTAGTTGATGTTTTCTCACTCTGGCTTCTCTCACAAGGAGGGTGTGGGAGTGTAGGCTAATGTTAACACTCTGGCGGAAGGCAGTGTTGGGGGGGGGGGTGTTGAGGCTAGGTTGAGTAGAGGGAAGGTTGAGTGTATAGTGGAATAATGGAGAGGCAATTAAATAGATGTAGTGGGAGGCAGTGAAATAGATGTAGTGGGAGGCAGTGAAATAGATGTAGTGGGAGGCAGTGAAATAGATGTAGTGGGAGGCAGTGAAATAGATGTAGTGGGAGGCAGTGAAATAGATGTAGTGGGAGGCAGTGAAATAGATGTAGTGGGAGGCAGTGAAATAGATGTAGTGGGAGGCAGTGAAATAGATGTAGTGGGAGGCAGTGAAATAGATGTAGTGGGAGGCAGTGAAATAGATGGAGTGTCATGAAAGAACAACACCCTCTCATCCAAAAAAGATCATACAGCAACTGTTGGCCGAACACACACTAATGAACTGTTGCACAAAATGAAAGTTCTCGTTTTGAACTATTAGTTTTGTAGATAGCAACAGAAAGAATGCAAGAACTAAACTAAATTTTGTCCTAAGCCTAATATAGCACATGTATGCACTAAATTAGGCTTAAGATTGCATATATTAGGATAACTTATTCAGTCTTTGCACAGATTAAATTTAATTGTATAGTTACTGTTCCTTTTTTGCTGGACCATTTTTTAAGATTTCAACAGCACGGAACATGAACTTTCTCTGTGTATAACAATCATTTTTTGACCTTTCGACTTATAGTTGCTGTAGGTCTATTATTTTTGGAGAACGATGAGGAAAATCGATGAGTATTCTGAAATCATCTTCTTTCTTCTCTTATTCGTTTCCTCTGTTTTAAATGGTACACATATATGTGTAAATATTACATAACTTTACATACGTTGGGAGGAGCCCGAGTCTCTTAAGACTGTCCTTGTGGCACTCCGCTTGTCGCCCCTCAGTGTGCACCTCTACACAGGTCAACACTACCAGGTCAACACACCCAGGTCAACACACCCAGACCAACACACCCAGGTCAACACACCCAGGTCAACACACCCAGACCAACACACCCAGGTCAACACACCCAGACCAACACTACCAGGTCAACACACCCAGGTCAACACACCCAGGTCAACACACCCAGACCAACACTACCAGGTCAACACACCCAGGTCAACACACACAGGTCAACACACACACGTCAACACACACAGGTCAACACACCCAGACCAACACACACACGTCAACACACCCAGGTCGACACGCGTATAGTTCCTCCCACCTAACTGAGCTACTTTGAGGAACAGTACTAAAGACGTTCAGGACGTTTCCTTGAAGTTCAGTATACTGTAGTGACCCCAGCTTTTCTTCCCTGTGTGATCATTCTCATCTTGTCACGGAGCTCCAGCAGGTTCTTCAAACACGAATTCTTTTCTATGAACTCTATGATGACGCGTGTCAAAGTTTATATTCTAAGTACTTCATTGGTCTGTTCCGATAAATCTTTTTCTGGATCTTACAAGATGTAGGAGAGACGGGGGTTAAATACTTCCTGTCTATCTTATATGTAGAAATATTTACTTTCTCCAGTGAAGCGCTGACGAGCATCCTCAGCAGTGTGCTCATAGCCTCGAGCATATATATATATATATATATATATATATATATATATATATATATATATATATATATATATATATATATATATATATATATATATATATATATTGGTGTATACTGGCAGCAGGTTTTCTTTCAAACATGTTTCATTGAATATGACCGCATATTCTGTATTTATTATTTTCTGGTTTAGGGCTTCTATCCCTCTAACTATTTTCTTAGCATCAGGGCTTAATTGGAATAGGAGTTCTCCAAAACTCATTTTCGTACTTTTAAGGTGAAGAAAAGAAGTGATTTACTATAGAGTGTATTACACTTATTTGTATAATTTGCACGACGTTTCGAACCTCCATGGTTCATTCTCAAGTGAACAATCTTACAATACTAGTTGATTTTATACCCGCATTAGGTCAGGTGATAATACAATGAAGGTGAAAAACATGGGGGGATACATAAGGGATAAACATAGGGGCTGCAGAAAGCTTATTGGCCCATACGAGGCATCTCCTATCTAAACACAAAGATTAATCCAGTGTAATTGGCCTGTTATGTTGGACATTGTCTTCTGTGTTGGCATCGATATGTTCTTGTCTTCTCCTTACTCTCATGGTGGGTAGAGTAAATAGTTCCGTGATTTGGGTGTTCACTTGAGAATGAACCATGGAGGTTCGAAACGTCGTGCAAATTATACAAATAAGTGTAATACACTCTATAGTAAATCACTTCTTTTCTTCACCTTAAAAGTACGAAAATGAGTTTTGGAGAACTCCTATTCCAATTAAGCCCTGATGCTAAGAAAATAGTTAGAGGGATAGAAGCCCTAAACCAGAAAATATATATATATATATATATATATATATATATATATATATATATATATATATATATATATATATATATATATATATATATATATATATATATATATATATTTGAAGCACTCCTTTAATTGACCTCTCTAAATCGCCAATTACCAACGGAATTAGTAATTAGAGCCAATTGCAGATATATCCAACCACTGGTCAGAAATTTAATTGGCATTAATTAACCTTCGACTTTTCGTGATCGATTCATAACTTCCCCCTTCCCTCTTTCTTTTTCTCTCACCTCTCCTTCTATCCTTCTCTCTCTCACTCTCTCTTTTTCTCTCACCTCTCCCTCTCTTTCTCTTTTTTTTTAAACTATGATTAGGGTTCATAAGGGCTGTCAAATGACGTACCTAGTGAACTGTTAACTGTGAACTGCAAGCAAGAACTGGTATCCTTCCTCAGCTCAGTTGAAACCTGCTCTTAGAGACCCATTTATGTCATGAGTCTGTTATATGCATCAAAAGGAATAAACTTTATTAATTAACAACATTAGGTAACAATGATATAAGGAGCATGATGAGCCTGTAGCCAACTGTGTGCCAGAGTCTTCATGTGATCAGTTGACCTGATCTCCCGTGTATCAACCTGTTGAGTGAACAAGTTCCAGATGACAGTCAGCCTCGGAGTGAATGGTCGCTGATGGAGTCATGTTCTTGAGAATGGCCCTTCCGGTCCCTGATGGAGTCATGTTCTTGAGAATGGCACTTCCCTCTCTCCCCCCCCCCCCCCCCCCCCCCCTCTCTCTCTCTCTCTCTCTCTCTCTCTCTCTCTCTCTCTCTCTCTCTCTCTCTCTCTCTCTCTCTCTCTCTCTCTCTCTCTCTCTCTCTCTCTCTCTCTCTCTCTCTCTCTCTCCCTCCCTCCCTCCCTCCCTCCCTCCCCCCCTCCTTCTCCCCCCTCTTCAAGCATGCCCTAGAGAATGACTTATTTAATGAGCTTATTAGGTTTCAGTATGTATAAATTAGTGTTTCATGAATAATAGTTTCCCATATAGTCAGTCTTAGGGTTCTGTTCATGATTAATTGTAATTACGTCAGATGGGTTTAGCATTTAGAAAGTTACGGAAGCACTGGTTCACTAAACTTCAGACGTCATTAGTTGTGATTCACATGTAAAGTTTATTACATTCATATATAGGGGTTTGGAGGCTAGAGCTGAAGCATTTTGGGCACTGTCTCAATGATGGGCTGCAGTGTTCATGCAGATTGGGTTATTGCTTTGGTCCATTAAGTCTTTGTTGTTTTGACGCAGAGAGTTACGACCTGAAGCAAGTCTTTTTCCATTTAAGTCGAGCTTCAATGTGAATGAACATTGGCAGCAACATTTTGGAACTTGTTAATGTATTAATATAACTTAGCCGGATGGAAGCAGCGGCTGAAAGTTGCCTTGTTTACTACTCAGTCTCAAAACAAAAGGCTTAACTTATTCCCACGGAGCAGGCACTGCTTGTTTATGAGGTAAATGGAATGCATTAGGAAGTGATGTGGTGGAGGCTGACTCCATACACAGTTTCAAATGTAGATATGATAGAGCCCAGTAGGCTCAGGAATCTGTACACCAGTTGATTGATGGTTGAGAGGCAGGACCAAAGAGCCAGAGCTCAACCCCCGCAAGCACAATTAGGTGAATTAAATGTCAGTGGAGCATGATTCCAGAGGTGATCGTATACCTCTCAGAATGATTCACTCTTCAGAAACTTACATTATGCAGCGAGAGAACGAAATGTGAAAACGGAATTTCTTCGAGATTCCCAATTTGTTATCACTAGAATTTGTCGTGATGGGATGAGGGAATGTTGCAATTGGTCTAAAGTTTATGTTGTCGACCCAGTTACTTGATTCATCAATATACAGGA